CAAAAAAATTCAAATTAGCATACATATATAGTCCTTTATATTAACATCAGGTAAAATATTATCATTAATTTTATTATTATTATTTTATTTTTACCTTATTGCATACCACCTAGTCCTTATTAATAGGTATAGTATCAACATCTCCTCCTTCTCATTCATCATAAGACTACATTTTCACATTTTAATAATTAAGAAAAATATAATATTTATTCTTTTATTATATTCAAAACTTATTTTTTAAGGAAAATATAATCTTTGACTTTGAAAGCAAAACAAAAAATGATATTAGTAATAAAAAAGTTTAATATTGCAAGTTTTAATAAATTTATTTTAAAAAAATTTTAAGTATCGATTAGCAATTTAGAAGTATCAGATATGTATAAAAAATTAATTTTTTAAAATTGAAAAATATTATTTCGATACTTTATGGATACGTATCGAAAAAGTATTACTATCGAATACGATACCGACATGGATATGTCGAGTAATTTGGAGTATTAGTGCTTCATAGCATCAAACTGCCCACTCTTACCAGAGATTGTTCTTTAGCTACCTAATGTAATGACCCCATATTTTTAAAATTAAATAAACTTTTTTTAAATAAAATAAATTTTTCAATTAATATTTTATTGAAATTAGTTTTATAGCAATTAGATGGGGTAGTTTAGTGAAACTTATGCTAATAATTTTTTTAAGGTCCAAAGTTCAAACTTTATTAAGCAAATGTTTGGTTTTATTTTGTTTTAAATTATAGAAAAATTTTGTGTTCTTTCTTGTAATTTGCCTTATGCCCTTTCTTGTAATTTTTCCAATTATCTTTTTTAATCACATTTTTATTCTCCTCAGCCATTCAAACTTCAGAACAGAGCATCCCATCTTCTATTTCTTTCCCTTCTTTCTCTCCATCGCCAATGTACTCCTTTGGTCTTCATTGTCGATCCATTCTTCTGGTCCCCTCATTGGTTTCAACTGCTCATCATCGGCTTGTGCTTCTCCTCGATGTCGCATCTTCACTGTTGGAGCGTTGGAGTCATCAAATTTTTCCTTTCACTGTTCTTTGTTTCTTCTTGGTCCTATGTCGACGTGTGGTGCGTGTGGGGGTGCTTGGCCTTCATCTCTTCTTCCTCTTTAGTTGCTGCCAGTAGTGTTTGAGTGTGTATATGGTAAGCTCATTTTTTTTTTTCACTGGCCGACGCACTTTGTTCTGTTTCATAGAGATGCTATTGTGTTGATTATGAGGAAATTCATGTAATGTTTGGTTTATGCTGGGTATTACTTTATTTTGATGCTGAATTGAATCTTGATTGTAGAATTTTATATTTGAAATGTTTGGAGGTTGGTTGATGACTGAGTTAATAATCAATGCCTTGAGGTGTTTGTTATAATGTTCAAGAGAAGAATTAAGTGAATAAATGTCGTTAAATTCCCATGTTATCTTGGAGGAACACTTATAAGTATAATACCTATTGGAAATCTCAAGATTTTTGGTTGATGATTTTAGTTTCTTGCCCAAGGTGATTCAAAAGCTTGATTGAGATTTATTTTATAATGTCTCATATTATGGATGATGTTTGAGTAGTGTAGGGGAGTAAGACTTAGGAATTAAATGACAAGAAGAAATTAGTACTGATGAAATTTGGACTTGTAGCGAACATATGTAAATGTTCCCAAGATGTTTGTTTAAATAGTTGAGAGAAGAGTAAGTTATCAACAGATTAATGTAATTAAATTTGGAATTAATTGTCAGAAAGGGAGGAAATTATATTCTGATTTAAAAGTCTATATTAATAAATAGAAAATTTTAAGAATTTATAATTGGGCATGATAGTATGGTTGTCTATTTTAAACCAAGATGCTAGTTCATTAATTTAACTTAGAATGCATATAAAGTGCTTACTAAAATTTTTAAGAAAAGATTGGAAATTGACTGGGGGAAAGTATTAGAGACATTATTGGATGCTTGTTGTAAATTGAATCTTAATGCATTCAACATGTCTGTTGAAATATTTAAGAAGGAAAAGATTAAAGAAACTTGTGGCTTGTAGCACATTATAAAGTTTTAAGAAAACATGAGTTTAACTTGGCTTATTATGTTTTAATTTAAAGAAAATTATAAATGTCACGCCTTGAAAATAAAGGATGACGGCATGAGTGCAAACCACTTCTCACATTTTCGTAAGTCTCAAGATAAAAATTCATTCTATTTTTTAAAATAATAATCAAATTATATGGAAATTCTAACAGTTTTGATATTAATTGTCATAGTAACGCTTCAACGTCTTTGTAAAAATTTTGGAGAACCTCCCTGTTAATAGGATCTCTTAAAATTTCTACAACACAAAATTTTTGCAAAATATAGTATCAATCAGGAGCTTAACTCCTTCCATCTAGCAAATAGTATATAAATCAAAATAAAGTCCTAACAACAATCTATGTGAAGCAACTGATCTTTCTTCTAAATTTAAAATGCATGAATCTTAAAATATTTACATCAAAAGGTAACAATACCAAGTGAAATTTCCAACTAGGATAATTGTATTGCCCTTTTTAGAGGTCGGTGGTAGGATTAATGTCAGCCAATGAATTTGAGATCAAAATAAATTTTTAGTAAATAACATCCCCAAAGATAGAATTTAAAAATAAAAAATTCAGTCAATTATGTAAATTAATTGAAAATATAAGAATCCAATATAATGTACTCAATAAATTTATAAATTTTAAGTACAACCATAAAAAATGAGAGTACATTGAAAACACTTTATTCCATCATGGTAGAAGAAAAATAATTTGTACATATGTAGATCAAAATGATACACTAACAACTGAAACCATTAAAATTTCAAATATATAAATTGATCCAAATTTCGAATTGTGAGGACTTAACAAAACAAATAACAAACATGGATACACAGTCCATGAGGATAAATAACCGAACGTGGCTCATGCCATGAAAACTAAACATGAACACACAGTCTATGAGGATAAGTAACCAAACACGGCTCAAAGTTATGAAAACTAAACGTGGATATGAAGCCCATGAATAACAAATGTGAGGACAAAGCCCACAAAACAAACTAGCTAGTTATTCACCACAGTGTGCCATAGGCTAATGGAACTACCGTTAGCAGCAGTGTTTTGTCTAGAGTCCTCTTAGAAATCATGTTTCAAACGTGCGAGAGAAATAATTATTTCTAAAATAAAATTTTCATTCTCAATACCAAACTTGCATGAATTGTTTCAAATTTCAAAACTTGCCAAATTAATACTTTAGAGCTAATGTATAGGCTTGCATTAATTGTGTAGCTAAGAAATTCAGAAATTCAATAAACAAAAATACCTTCATTAATATTAGAAATATATTTCTTGAGAAAAATAAATGCACATATCATAAATTAATTATTCTTCCTCGTTGTTGCATAGTTTCTAAAACAAAAATAATTCATACAAATAAAATATTTTAGTAAAAGATTATTAATAAATAATTAAATAGGATGCTATTCACTTACATGTTGGAGTTTCAAATTCCTAGAGATATTCTTTTTTAATTCTAATTAGGGTCATGTTCTTCCACACACCCTATAAGGATATAAATAAATAAAATTTTATTCAATTCTCAACCAATACAATAATTCCTTTTCAACATTTCCATCGATAATTAACTATAATAAATTTGAAACTTTGAAATAAAAGCTTTACGCTAAAAAAATTATTCCTCATTGCCATTTTGTCAAGGCACCAAATATATATCTTTTCCAATCCCATCATAACAGCTCTAGCATTTAAATATTTTCTCAACAAACTATCGATCTCCAAGAATTCTAATAATCACACATATTTTTAATTTCATAGTCAAATATCCTTTGCAGCATCCAAATTTAAATTCAAACTTCCCACAAGAATTAATGAAACTCCATATATATATATATATATATATATTCAAAAACTAAGTTCAATTTCTTCTAACAAGCATTTCAACAAACATCTTATAAGCACCAATTTCAAATTTTACACCTAAGCTCTTCTCTTTCAAATTCATTCCAACAATTGCTCAAGAGCAACCAATCCAATAAAATCAATTTAGCTTAAATATTTTGAGCCATATATATATATATATAATTATCAAGCTTCAAGATAGATATTCTAGCTCAAATTTGGTTTTCTTTCTTCTCCACATTCAACACAGGTAGCAGAAGAATCAAGGAGAAATTTATAATCTCAACAATATCACCCTAGCCACTCACACGCATAGATTATACAAAGAGAAGGACAAGAGATTGAAGCTTCTAACCTTGGACAAACCAATAGCACATGAACAAAAGAAGGAGAAGGCAACTTCGAACACTAAAGAAGAAAGGATTGTCACCGTGAATGAAGAAAAGGGTGAGCATACCAATGATGGCAAAATGAGCAAGAGAAAGCACTACTACAAAAAAGGAAATATAAAATGGTTATTTTCCTTACTATATAACGGTTATGAACCGTTGAGTAAGATAGCGCTGAATATTCTATGACCATTTATTCAACGGTTTTTAACCGTTAAATATTTTTAATTTATTCAACGGTTTTTATTCCAAAACCGTTGCATAAATTTTTGAAATTTCAAAATGAGAAATTGTGAGAGATAATATTCAACGGTTCTGGAATAAAAATCACTGAATATTTTCAAATTATTCAACGGTTATTAATTTAAAACCGTTGAATATATATACTTATTCAGCGGTTGTAAGGTGAAACCGTTGAATAGTTTTGTGATCATATTCAACGGTTTTATCCTATAACCATTGAATATTAGGACCTAATTTTTTCCATTTTCTACCTAAATTTCTAGCAAGCCCCCTGCATTGTAAATAACAGAATGATATTCCAGAACCCAGACACAAATTCCAACCAATAATAGTTACGTTTATATATATAAATGTACAATGAATTTCTATAAAAAACTTATATACAACTTGAATTGCTTAAATGAAAGCAATTAGTGGTTAAAACATAAAGCTCTAAATTCCAAAATTTGCCTAAGTTTCCTAACTGTCACTGCTGCTGGCTGTTGAAATAAACCATGCTTCAAAAATACTGTGTGCTAACTCTTCAAGGACTTCTTCCATTTGAGCATGAGTATACGTGTCACAATATGTGTCCTCGTAGTACTATATGCAACAACAACAATAAAAAATTAAAATCATGTTTATTAATTAAAACTAATAAAATAGAATGGGAAGACAATTACATCATTCGGAAGAATTCCGGTTGGAGCATGTTGGATTATGTCCTTCATGAATTTCATGACAGCGTACCCATAATCCCTGACTTTGTCTGCTTGCTCTGGGCACTACAATCATACAATGGATAAAATAACTGAATAGTTAATTAATAATATGACATGACCTATACAGTGACATTTCTAACATATACCTTGACAACTGTCCATGATGTTGCTGTATCAAACCAATCGCTGCCCTTTACTAGTTGTCGAAATTGTTGATCAACATCAGTGCGGTACATGACAATAGCCCTAACGTGAAATAGAAAACTTGACATGAGAAATATTCATACAAAAAGAACAAATTACATATATGCAAACAAATTAATCAACTTACTGATTAATCATTTCTACAATATGTGGTCTGTTAGACGGATGGCCACTCCGAATAGGGTCAAGGTACCACACCCTCCCTAAAGTTGGATTGATCACAAGCAACATCCGGTGTCCCCTATGACAAAAATTACAATTAAAAAGTATCATATAAATAATTAAATTTTGAATAAATTAAAGTGAAGCATCGTAAAGTAACTTACCCTTCACAATAAGGTGCTATAAATATTGTGTTCTTGTCGGCACCATGTTGATGGAAGTACTTTGAAAGCTTCTGAGATATTTCTAGTCCTTGCTTAGGACTCATTATGTCATGGCCATAAGGAGAGACCATATGAGGACTGATAAATATAATCCTTCGTGCTATATCTCTTCCAGCAAGCATGGTAGTGTAGAGGTTCCTTAAATGTCGAAATAAATAGAACAATATATGATTAAAGTGTGTGTGTATATATATAGCTAAATGTCTAATGAAAGGTTTTAGAAACATACCTCATATATAAGTTACATAGAGTAGTGGTAGCCTCTGCATGGTTGAATAAATCATGCAACACCTCATTGTTGACTTGGTTAAAAGACTATGGATTAGCATACATGTCTGTAGGGAAAGGGAGCAGCGCTCCTTCTTGCATCTCGGCATAGGTCTTAAGCAATTGTCGATTTTTATTGGGTGCGACTTGACTTTTAGAGGCTTGAGGCTGAGGGGTTTTAGGCAGATGGGCTTGACGGAGAACCAGTGTCTTCTGGGGAAATGTGATGGATTCATTAAACTTGTCAGAGCTCTTCTTATCCTTTTCCCTCTTCTGCTTAGTAGTGAATGCTTTCATAGCCTTTGGTGCTTTCTTTCCCACCGGCTTATCAACAGGCTAATTTTTCCAACATATAAGATTGTTAGATATCAACTATAAAAAATGCAAAGAAGTTAATTTTCTATTAGGAGTTTAACAAATATACCATTGGAGATGGTGCCGAAATACGAAGAAGACGAATCGGCCATGCACAAAGCTGAGCAATGCAACTACTACTGTCCTTGCATTCGGAGTGGGGTAGGGTAGATCATAATTAGGATCCTTAACTGTCTTCAAAGAGACTTTCACTGTCCCTTCAGGGATGTGTTCATTGTGAAGCATTACTTGCCCAGCAATGTTATACATGCGCCCTAGTGCAACCACATGGCTGTCTTCTGCCAAACAATCAACGTCGGCCTCACCCTACATAAATTAAAAAAAAAGAAAAAAATTATGTAATATGAACAATAAAAGTAGTATTATGTGTAAGATTATAGTAAAATGAATAATGATACCTCAGGTAGGAGTTGAGATGGGACTGTGCAACTATCATTCACACTAGGGCTACTGTCGCCCAGTGGAAGCCCCAACTTATGCCGGCTCAACAGCAAGTCGATGAGTCTAGATTGTTCTTGTATCTGTTGTGATTGTGCTAGTATCTGCTGCTTCTGTTCCGCTAGCTCTTACCTCAACTCTTAAACCTCAGTAGAAGAAGCAGCCCTTTTACTATGCTTGAACGCATCGCCAAAGTAATCTTTTCTTGTGACTCCAAAGCCAACGCCCCGAACATGACCAGGATGGTCAGTATTCCCCAATGCCTTCTCCAATATATCCTCATCAACAGTTTGAAGTGCCTGCTAATGCCTCCTGAGTCAAAGTCTCCTGTGAAGCAGAAAAAAGCAAAGTTTATAAGTAAAAACTAATAACATTATATCATTATATCAATATATCATTAATACTTACTATTGTTTCAACAACCACTTTTGTTTTTGGGTTGTCAATATTTCCTGCTTTATTTTTTCGAGCCTCGGCCCAAATCCTGCCACGGGATATAGAACCCTCTGACGCTTGCTCTTTCTTAATCAAACTCTTTTTAACTCCCGCATATCCCTTGCGTCCAGCCTTATATGTATATTTATTCTTTTTCGCCAACTCTTTATTTTTGGTGCTTAATGCCTTCGAAAAAACATAAAACATAATAAGTCAATTAATATAAAAGGAGGTGACAACAAAAGCAACAATACATAAATAAAATAATATTAATGTTACCTTGAACTCTGGACTGCGACGTGAGTTGACAAAAGCTTTCCATTCATCCTCACTCACAATTGTCGAAATGAGGGAAGGAACTGTATCTTCGATACCCTCCATGTCAGGGTTCGTCAAAAATTTACGGGTAACAAAACTTCTAAAAGATCTTAAGGCTATCCCAGCTTTTCGTAGAACAAACTTCTTGCGCCTTTCCTCGATCTCAAATCCTGACTGCAAGATGAACATGTCAATTTAAATAAACGATTGCAAAACATTAAGTTAAAAAAAAAGCAAAGTTATAGTATCTTACTGTTAAAGTTCTCCACACTGCATCCTTCATTACTGGAGTTGCATTCTTCTAAGATTTTAAAGTAATAGGCACTGAGGACTTCGCTGCCACACCAATATAACTGATGAAGTTATGACTATCAACTACTTGATTCTTATTGTTCCACTTGACAGTAAATTTTCTTCTTTCATTTCTTGCTTTAGTGACTTCCTCCATCACAACCAACCCTCTCCTCAATTGTTCTTCCTGCCTATCAAGGTCAGCCTTTTTCTTAGTCGGGTCATCATGCTGCCTACTCGGACTACTGGATCTAGAGCCAGTGTCAAGATGGTCATGCTCAGTAGCCATTTACCTGTGAAAGCAATAATAATCAAGATTAAATAAATAAAAAAGAATAAGTTAAAAAAATCAAAAAAATAATAACAACACGTGAACTTTCTTTAATAAGTCAACCATAACATAACTACCTATTTATGTTGTTCTTTTTCTTTTTCTTGTTTTAACTACTTTTTTGACTAATTTCTTCTTCACTTTAACAACCTTCTTCTTTTGTTGAATTGATTTCCCCCTCTTGGAAATCCAAATTCCCTCATTATGATCACGTCTTATGTAGAAAGCATTATCTTCAATACTGTCTACACCATCATCATTTTCAAATGATGTCCCATAAAATGGATCAACTTCAACCTCATCATTTCTTCAACTTTGCTCATTTTCTGTATCTCCCATTTCTTCAACTTCCTTGTTACTCCATAAAACAATAGACCATTTTTTATCAGCTGGATCATGGACATAAAAAACTTGTTTGGCTTGGGAAGGAAAAATGAAAGGATCCTCTGTGAACCCTTCCTTATTAGATTCACCCTAATTAACCCAAAGTTATCGACATCTACCCCATTCTTATATTCAACCCACTTGCAACCGAAGACTGCAACTCGAAAGGAGATGTAATCTAACTCCTAAATGTGCTCAATTACTCTGAAATAATGCATTTTTGCGTAAATAGGTTTTTTATCTTTCGCACTGGAAATGTGCATGCTATTACCTATGGTGGATACACCACTATTTTGCATTGTACTTTGGTCATCATGCTCCTTTGTGTAGAACTTGTACCCATTGCTAGTATAACTAGTGTAAGAGAAGACATGTTTGCTCGGACCTTTTGCTAGCCATTTTAATCTATCAGAAACTAAATTAGGATTGGCATTGTACTTCCCTTCGATATGCTCTTTCAATCAGCGAATGAACTGTTTATTGTGCAGTTTGATGATCCAACTCTCTAATCGATGATGGTGCTGCCTTTTTAGCTCTGCCTTATGAATTTTTGCATACTCATCAATCTCTAGAGAGTTGTACAGCACAAAAAGGTGTACTTTTTCCCATTGGTCACTTGAGATAGTGACAATTTTTCTTCCTGTTGTCCGTTCTGTAGCTTCATCATCAACATTCCTTGAATTCTCTACATATTGACCGCAAAAGTGAATAGCCTCTTCATTAATATATCGTTCAACAATACAACCTTCTGGTCAACTTCGACTTTTGACATACCCTTTCAATACTTTTATATTACGCTCAAAAGGGTACATCCATCTCAAATAAGCAGGGCCTCATAATTGTACCTCCCTAACCAAGTGAACGGTTAAGTAGACCATGATATCAAAAAATGCAGGAGGAAAAAACATCTCAAACTCACATAATGTTTGCACAATTCAGCTTTGCAACTTCGGCAACTTGTTAGGATTAATTACTTTACTACAAAGGCACCTAAAGAAGTAACATAGCTTTGTGATTGTACCTCACACATTATTGGGTAAAATACCACGTATAGCAATCGGAATAAAATTCTCCATTAAAATATGGCAATCATGAGTCTTTAAACCTTTTAACTTTAGGTCCTTCATTGAGACAAAGTTTCTAACATTTGAAGAGTAGCCATATGGAACCTTGATTGTAGCAAGAAACTCACATAAACTTTTCTTTTCTTTTCTAGACAGTGTGTGAGTTGCTGCTTGAAGAAATGTGCGAGTTCCCTTCTCCTGCGGTGCCAATTCTTCTCTTATGCCCATTTCAACCATGTCTAACCTTGCATTGATGCCATCCTTCGTCCTTCCTGGAATATGAAGCAACATCCCAACCAGACTATTGCACACATTTTTCTCAATATGCATCAAATTGAGGAAGTGTCGCGCATTCAAGGTCTTCCAATATGACAACTCAAAAAAATTGATCTTTTCTTCCACCCGCTTGTTCCAACATGCTTTGCAAACGGTTTGCCAAATTCAGTATCAAGGTCTTTTACCTTTTCAAATAATTCCTCACCAATCAACTGCTTTGGTGGCCTTTCTTCTTTATTTTTCCATCAAAAGACTTTTTTCACTGACAATATCAATGTTTGTCACCCAACCATCTACGATGCCCAAGGTACATGTTCTTCATACCATGTTGCAATCTCATTGAACGTGTTTCCTCTTCACAAATGGGGCATCCGAGTTGTCCTTTAATACTATACCCTGATAGATTACCATACGCTGGAAAGTCATTGATTGTACCAAAAAGCATGGCTCTCAAATTGAATATCTCTTCTTTGTAGGCATCATATACCTCTACACCTATCTCCCACAACAACTTCAAGTCTGCAATCAATGGTTCTAAGTAAACATCTATGTCATTTCCGGGTTGCTTGGGCCCTGATATTAGCAAGGATAGCATCATATACTTTCGCTTCATGCAAAGCCAGGGAGGAAGGTTATAAATGACCATCATCACAGGCCATGTACTATAGGTACTGCTCTGCATACCATGTGGGTTCATCCCATCAGTAGATAATGCGAGGCGTAGGTTCCTATCTTCTTTTCCGAACTCAGGGTACTTCCGATCAAACCTTATCCATTCAGGAGAATCAGCTGGATGCTGAATCTTATCATCTTTAATCCTTTCATTTGCATGCCATATTAAATTCTTTGCCTCTTGACGTATGCTATACAAACGCCTAAATCTTGGAATAATAGGAAAATACCATATTGCCTTCTTCGCACTCTTCCCATTTTGCTTATAACGTGATGTCTCACACTTAGGACAGTGGGTTAGCTCTTCATATTCATTCTTAAACAAAATGCAATCATTAGGGAAAGCATGTATCTTCTTATAGCTTAGGCCAACTATGCATAACACCTTCTTTACATCATATAGCCTATCCGAAAGCTTATTATTCTTCAGTAGCATTAGTTTGATTAGAGAAAGCAAGCTTGAAAAACTTGTATCACTCCACCTACTTGTTGCTTTCAAGTTGTACAATTCTAATACAGTGGACAATAAAGTGAACTCAATACAACCCTCATACAAAGGTGTCTCCGCATCAGTTTTCAACCTTTCGAACTTCTCTAGAAAATTCTCGAGTTCCTCTTCTATCACATCAACTAATTCTTCAAGACAAACGGCCTCATTTGCATTTGTGTCAAAAGATGATGGTGATGAACAACTTTCTATATACCCTCGGCTACTGTTATTCACATCTTCAGGTGTCTCCCCATGCTTTACCCAACACTTGTAACTTTGATTAATTCTATACTTAAACAAGTGAAGTTCGCATGTCTCAGGAGAAATTGACTTCACATTACCACAACTTAAACAAGGACAAACAATTCGCTCATGATTTTTTGCATTGTTTACAGCAAACTTAACAAATTCTGCCACCCCATCCCAATATTCTTTAGATAGGTGATTGGCAGACATCCACTCCTTATCCATAATGCCCTTATTTAAGAAAGATGGTAAAAATAGAAAAGCATTTAGTGAATCACGAGTTTAATTACTTCAACAACTTCAACTACGCTTATATTTGTTCTTTTCAAGAGAAAAATTAAAATTAAAAAAAATCAGCAGCCTAACAATTTCAAATAAGTATTCCCCAAGTATTATGCCCTTTCTTTACACTATTTTAACCTACAAAATTTTAAACTAATTCAAGAAACAAGATATAAGTATAATTAAACTCCCTCCAGACCATAATTAACAATGGTCATATTTGCAAGACTAAAATTTTTAAAAAAATTTGGCAGCATAACGGCATAAAACTAAGCATTTCCCAGGTTTACTGCCCTTTTTTAACAAATTGAACATTAAAATAACAACAAATTCATATTAAAAATCACTCAATCAATCACATTTAACAATTAGTAGCAGACACAGAGCATTTTCGTTCAACCAAAATTCAAGCACATTGTATATGAAATCATCCCCATTGTAAATAATCATAATGTTCAAATAAAATACTCAAATTTTATACAATTTCTTAAAAAAAACTAACCTTTTTTTGTTTGCCAACCCACGCACGTACACGGTTGAATGGAGATGAATCACGAACCAAGCAACTGGAATGGAAGAGGAAGATGAAGTTAGGAAGAAAGAGATGAAGAGGAAGAGGAAGAAGAAGAAGGAAGAGGAAGAGGGAAGAGGAAGAGAAAGAGAAGCGAAATGTAACATAGAGCACTTACGTGTTCGCACACCACAAGATGGAAGACAAAATGGCAATAAAGGCTTGCGACGGCATTCCAACGGCGAAATATGGTAGGGTTTGGCCGGAAATGTGGACTCGATGCTTGGGAAAGGAGATTCGACAATGGGTATCTGGTTCTGCAGAGGAGAACTGAAGTTTTGAGCATCTGAGACTAACGGTTTTAGGAGAATGAAGAGGCGATTTAAATGAAATTATTCAACGGTTATATTTAAAAACCGTTGAATAAAGGTTTATTCAACGGTTCCTCAAGGAAAACCATTAAATATTATAAACATTTATTCAACGGTTCTGGTTAAGGAATCGTTAAATAATAAGATGATGTCATAAGGCAGTTTCGAAAACATTCATTCAACGGTTTTGGATTTTAACCGTTGAATATTCTGACACTTTATTCAACGGTTTCTGTTCCTGAACAGTTGAATAATATGGTGATGTCACCAAGCATTTTTTTGACGATTTTATTCAACAATTTTTATATTTAACCATTGAATATATATAAATATATTCAACGGTTATTTTTTTAACCGCTGAATATTAGTTTTTCAAAATCCCACCTAAAGATGCCTTCGCCTATTTTGCACCACAGATTCCCCTTTTCAAGAATATCCAAGGTGTCATATGCCCAATCTTTCTCCAAGATAGTATTGGGACTTTTAAAAAAGAGAGATTGTGTATCAAAGCTTCTAAGGTGCTAGTGTACCATGTAGATTTCATAAAATATACTTCAATAACTCTAGGGTATACTCCTACCCTTTCACAATGATCATGTTCATACAATACTAACGATACATATCATATTCATAGGAAATGATCATACAATACACACTAGCATTTCAAATTTGTATCCAATTTCACAATGATTTATAAACAAGTATAATTAGGTTTCAGACATAGAAATTAATACAATAGTTTAACACCACTTCACACAACTTTCTAAAACACTAAAACTCAAGTAAATCACTAGTTTTCACAATAGATTTACAAACACACACACACACACTCTCTCTCTCTCTCTCTCTCTCTTGCAAAACTAATAACCACCCAAATGCACAAGTAAAAATATTATATTATTTAGTTACCTTAACCCTTTTATCACAAAAAGGCTTACTGTGGCAATTTAATCACCCCTCTAGATTTTGCTAGCTTAACAATGTTCAATCAATATTTAATTTGCAAAATTAAACACTAATAATCAATTATAACTCTAATAAAATCCCCTTTTGTCTAATTTTAGGTATCCACTATACCTATATTTCCTCTTTAGAAAAATTATCACTTTCAACACACTCTGTTAATTCTATTTAACATGCAAACACTTAGATAACAACAAATTTCTAACCACATTACTACCAATCTTCCAATTTTCACTTATGGTTCGTCTAGACCCTAACTAAAAATCTCAAATCACCATAAGATCCTTAAACAAGGTTAGAAACTTGATTTAACTCCCCAAAGCTCCAACTAAGCCAATGGGTTCGGCCAAAACATCCCCTTGATCGAAGACAACTTCCTACACTATGATTTAAAGGTGAAAATGCATAGAAGATGAAGATGAAGATGGAAGATAGGGAAGGCTTACCTAACAAGAATCAAGCTCCAAATGCTCCCAAAATGATGTTGAAGCCAAGCCCTAGAAGAGATAAAAAGTGCTCCCTCAAATTTTGCTTTCTTGCTTCTTTTGTTTGTCTCGTGTGACAGAGATAGAAAATTCAGGGCTCATCTACCGCAACGCACCATGCCTCTACCGTGGTGAATGGCATACATGTCTTGATTTAATTGGGAATAAGCATCTTAAGCATATAAAGCTAAGTATATAAGTTTTTTTTATTATAATAATGATATCATGGTTATTAAAATATGAGCAATTGTTGCTACCACACCCTAAAAATAAGGTGTGACTAGCACAGGATATGCATATAAAACCCATATCCTATAAGCTTTAAGTAAAAAAACTTCTAATTTAGTACTTTAAACTCAATAATAATAAGATTAGAAATTCTTACCATGCTTTTTGCTGTACAAAAAGAAGTATATACTCTTTTAAAAATTTTATAGAACCTCCCAAAATTTCTATAACAAAAAATTTGTAACAGTTTAGTAACAAGGAGCTCTGCTCCTTAACAACGAACAATCAATGTATGTAACAGGTCAAGATTCTATCTATAATCAACAAAGAGCACATGAAGTAGAATATAAGATAATATGTAAGCTCACATTTAGATCAACTTGATATTTCTCCAAAGAAATTCTTCTATAAAGCTCCCAATGATCATCAAATGATATGAGTTCATCTATTATTTGAGGCCAAAATATTTTCCAGTGAATAGCATCCAAAAATAAAATTAAAAATGATAAAAGAAAGAAATATAAATAGAATAAGGATGAATTTAACTAAAATAATCATTTAGAAAAGCAATTGTGTATAACTCAAACCAAATATTTCATGTAACCATTTAATCCAAAAACATCCTCATTTGATGGCAACACAACTGTCAAATTTCACTTTCTAAATTATTAGGCTCGTATTAAATAGTTAAAAATGAAACTCTCTCGTTACAAAGAAATCCATTCATGAAAATTAACTTGTCTAATAAGATTCATTTTTAAAAAAATAATTTTCAAATATTCTTTAATAGGACTTTATCAAAATGGATAATAAGCGTGGACATATAGTCTGCGAGAGTAGATAACAAACAAGCATGGACATACAATCCATGAGGGTATGTAACCAGTCAAGCGTGGCTAGAAGCTATAAAACAAGACATAAGCCATGAAACAAGCATGGCAAGGGCCATGAAACAAGCATGAGTACAATGTTTATGAATATGCATCCCTTTGTTCCATATGTATTAACCTACGCATAGGGCTAGCACCTCCTATAAACACCCTGTTAACTAGGTGTACCATGATGCACCAAGGGCTAATGGAACTGCTATTAGCAACTAGCATCTTGATTCAGTCCCACACTTCAAATCTAGCATCCATGAGTGTTAATAATAAATCATTCCTTAAATTGTAAAATCAAACATTACCAATATATTAAATACTAGTAGATGCCCAATCGTAAAATAATTCTAACTCTTCTTATAAAAATTTGTATGGTAAGAACATTTTTATTCATGATAGTTGATAATGAAATTTAAAATATAATGATATAAATAATCATGAATGCACTTAAACATTATTGGGAAGAAAATAAATTTACTAGTAAGTCATTTAGGATGCTATTCACTTACCTAAGATATTTTCAAATATATAACTTACTCTTAACTAGTCACTTTATAATATTGTCTGCGCCTTAATTCCCTAATTCCCAAAAGGACATTATTGTTATTTCCTTTATACACTTTATAAATCCTAAATCTTCACTCCAATCAAATTCAGAGAACTTGAAAAGAGAATCACAACATCAACCTTTCACAAATAAAAAATCATGTTGAGTTTAAACAACAATCTTCAACTTACATGCATATCAATGATATTCAAAATTTCTAAGTTTTCAAACATTTCATTGGACTATATGTAACCAAAAGCTAAAATAAGAGTGAACAAACTTGTTATTTCATTGAACACCTTTTATGTTGTAAGAATCAAATCATATAGCAACATCTTATTCTTTAAATCTCTTTCTCTACAATTTCCAATGTCAAATTTTAATTCACCAAACTTGTCAAATTTCACTCCTTCCACACAAATCATTAAGCTCAAAGAAAAATAAAACTAATTTCTTCATCTTACAATAACTAACATATATGTGAGATTATCTACAAGGAATTATGCTTTTAAACTCAAGTTTCAATCTGATCAAACCCATCTACTCCCCCAATCACTCACAGCAACAATAATAAAGAAGAAATAATAACTTCAACCAATTAACACACCCACACACAGAGTCAATGATAGAAACGAGGACCTACCAAGAATCAATTAAGTTTTAATAAAATTCAAACCCATATCTATCTTTCTAAAGTAGCAATAAACACAAATAGAGGGGATAAGCATATTCTTTAAATAGTTTCGATAATTTGAATTATTATGCTATAATGTTTATGATATGTTGAATCTTATTTACAAAAACAATGAATTTGTTTTCACATTTTCGTGACTTTTCTTAATTTTATTTTAACTCCTACATATTATAAATTAATTGTAAATTATTTAAACTTTGATATATATATATATATATATATATGTTTTAATCTTTTTGGACTTTTTCATGTTCCTCTAAATTTTAGTCTTTTATCATATTTTAGACTTTTATGAATTGTCTTGGATATTGTTAATTTTCTAGGGGCAAATGAAACATTTTTTTGAGTGATTCCTTTTGCATTGGAAAGTAGACATCATAATCTTTCTAAAGAGAGATAATTTAGAATTTTTGGAGGTCTGTCGAATAAATTATAAATTTTCAAAAGTTGGCGAAAAACAGTATTTCTCACTGAATAATCCGTGAGAAAATTCTGTGAGAAATTTTTAAGCATCACAGGAAAACATTTTAGATTCATGATGTTTCAAATTTAAAGCTTTAGTGCTCCTTTCCAATCTACTTGTATTTTCTTCAAGATTCATCAGTTGGTTTTTCTCTCCTCTCTTGAATCCAAACTTAGAGTTGTAGAGGCTATATTTATGGATTCTCTAGTTCTTTTTTGTTTTTTTTTTTTGGGCTGGGACTTGATTGAATTATGGATGTTGTTGTGAGGGATCTGCAGGCTTTGGATTGGAATTCTAAGTATGAACTTTTGCATTTGGATCATGGTGTGGTATTTGTTCACGTTGTAATTAAACATTTTAGGCTAGCTCTTTTGCCCTTCTAATTTAAAGGCTTGAGGTAACTGGAGTTTAATTCTTGTTGTAACATGTGCATCCATATGTAGTTTTCAAATTATTTATGGTAATTTCCATAAATAATTATCCAATGAGCGAAACCCATTTTTGGTATTAAACTGCATAAATATTTATTATGATTTTATTATATATATATTAGCTTGAAAAATGATATTTTAAAATGTATATTGATGTTGTCATTTTGGAAAAAGATTTGGAATTTTATCATTCTTTTGAATGTGGTATAATATTTGAATATGTTTAGCTACACATGTATATTAATACTGATGAGCTGGTTTTTATATCCTATCCAATGTGGAATTTATATTGATTGGAAATGTCACTTCCCTACTGTATGATTATTGTTGGGTCTTCATCCTTTTGATAAATGATTGGTTTTGAGTATAGACATGTATCTTGATAGATATCCATGATTCTTTATAACCACGTGGTAATTGCCAGCCCCTAAGGTCCTTGTTCCTATGGCTGGGAAGGGTTATAGTGGTGGCATATAAAGACCTATTAGTGCTCATTTACTATCTGTGGGCTCAGAAATGGAAAGAGAATAGGCATAAGTATTCACTAAATCATAGTGGATAGATCGTAGAAGGAGGATACAACTCCATGATGTCTCGATAAACTGTAGTGACCTCTAGGCAAGTGCTACAGAAGGCAGACAATTATGGGGGCATTCCCTGAATCATATCATTTGGGTTATGGAAGGGGAGTAGTGTTTAGGTAGGGTTGATTATTGTATTATAGTGATTATTGAAATGATAAGATATTACTAAAAATTCTTTTGAATAGTTGTATTACTTTGAGTATTGGAAATTTTACTTTTGAAATTTGTTTCAATATATGGTATTTTGAGTATGCACCTTCTTATCAAAATATATTTTATTATAGTATGCCTGTCTAAATTAGAATTTTTCTTCAGCTATTAAGATATTGTTATCTCACCTCTCACTCTAACAATGTTTTATGTGAGATTTTATAGCTCACTTTCTCAGCACGAGGTCAAGACTGGTTAGGCTTAGGTACATGGCCACCTTTTCTTGGTACTTGTATTTATTGTATTTGGCCAAGTGTTTTAGTGTTGTGTTGGGATATTGGAATTGTAATGCCCCTTGTTGTTAAATGTCTATTGACATATTGAGTTATGTATGGTGTAAAGGAGAGATCTATTTTGGGCTTTTTAATTTATTGGGACGTTCATTGCAGAGGAAGCCCCCTCATCTATGATGAACTATTTATGGTCTAGTAATAATGGTTTCCTCGGTGCAGGATCATAGTGTTTAGCCCTGAAGTTTGGGTTTTGTCAAATGTCACGTTAGACTAAGTCTTTGTGGAACTACATTTTGGTTATTTTACCATGAATTTGAGGGGTGTCACGACAAAGGTCACAATCCCAATTGCCTAACAACACAATCGAACCTGTCGCCATGTCCAGACACTTTTTTTTTTTTTAGGGAAGAATCGCCTTGTCCAAACCCTAAATATTCATTGTTTTTGCCGAGGGATAATTTCATGCATTTCATAGTCCAATCAATTCATGAATATAATTCATTCATATATAAATCAAGGCATCCATGCATGCAAACAATTTACCCAAGTAATAGTCAAGCACAAAAAATGCTAGTATTGCTACCTAGTGTGCAAGACTCTTATAAATACTCAGATTATTTTTTAGGCTTGGAACCTCCATTTCTTCCTCTCTTGGTATCCAATAGCCCAAGTTGAAGTTATGGAGAGTCCAGTATCTCTATAAGAATAGCCTTGAGTTGAGGGGAAGAGAATATGTGTATGTATGCCAAAGTAGATGATAGGAAGAATGAAGATGAATTGCAATTTATAGTGGAAGGAGAGGGATGAATCATGGGTTTGTTCATTGGGTAACACATCATCCCTCAAGAGTTGAGTTATCGAAAGATTACTCCTTTATGTGATACATCAACTGTCACATCCTGAAACTCAAGGTATGATCGATATGAAATATGAGATGAACTCATTTTATAAGTCTTAATTAGTTAGAGATTAAGT